TAGCTTAATATCGCGGTTGAAGGCCGTTTTTGTGTCCCCCTCACTCAATGCCATGAGCGTCCTGCCTTGCTATATTTCGTGAATCTCTTCATTGTATAAATTATTGGGTTGTCCCTGTCCGATTTTTTATCAAAATCAAATTCAAGTCGAATTAGTGTCATTGCGAAATATGTTGGTATGTCAAAGAGTGCATCTAGACCGTTAGCCAGGACATTTTGGAAGGTCAAACCCGCATCGGAATAACTGAGTAGAAGTCGAAATAGATCAATAGCAATAACGAACGATTATGCTTTATGATCCTCAAATAGACGCTGTTGCAAGAAGGACACTAGAGAAGATCAGCGCTGTGTTTGGCTCAGTCTCTGCTACTGATCGGTCACTGAGCTGGAGGTTCGGTCGCAATGGCAAAGACAATACGAGCTGTGAAAATCAGCCTCATCCTGGGCCTCCACTCACTTTCGATGAGGACCCCTTGCGCCATGGATTGGAAGTGCACACGGACGCTACTACCAGGGTATTGTAGCAGACACCTGGGCGCAGCCGATGCACCAGCACACGCCATCAGGATGAAGTGGGCGGCAGCAGAATGAAGACTTGATGGAAACCATATGCACCGACCAGCCATGACCGAGAAGCAGGTCTGACCCTCTGGGGGAATTTCATTCTGTGACCTCAGCAGAGCGTTCCCTAGTTGATCACTAGTGGGGATGAGTCATGAGTTCACTACGACAACAACACGCAGCACGCCTGATGGCTACCTCGCAGCCAGGGCTCACCAGCTCAACAAAAGCCCAAACTCCGTGGTCAGAGAATATTGCTTTTGATTTGTTAGATTGAGTGGGTCTTCCGCAGTCGTTTTGCTATATGCGGACAAGTATTGCGAATGCCATCGTGGAACAGCTCCCGGGGTTGGCCGCAGTAGTGGGAGAAAACCGTCCTAAACGTCCCAAAATCCCCTTTCTCCGAATAGACGCTCGACCTCACATTGCAAAGATAACTCGCTACGTTCTGAGGGAAACTGGCTGGACCACGATACCATGTCCATCGTATAGCCCTGGCATCACTCCATCGGGCTACCCCTTCACAGTGCCTTGCAGGCGAGAGAAAAAAGTCACTAAATACAACCACTCCAAAAACGACCTTGCTGAATTCTTCAGCTCATAGCTTCACCCATTCTAGGAGGAAAGCATCCAAAGGTTCCCTGGCGAATGGATGCATATCGTGATTATGATAATGGTTATATTTTTGATCAATTGGTTTTAGAGAAAGATAAAACTCGATGAGAAGAAATTGTCAAATTCGGACAGGAATATGGGATAACCCAATACAACCTTGGTGTGTCGGTTTGTCTGTGTGGTTATATTGTCTGTCTGTCTGTCCGCAACAAGTAAGTGATAAGGCAGCTAATGGAATAAACAAGGCCGCTAACAAATCGGGTAGCTTCGCAGGATTTGAGATATCAATGTTTTGTAGCAGGATAGTTGTGATAACACTCAGGGCTATATAAACACCTGCTTAGCACACTTCCGGTCATTCCACAAGGTGCTGCATTGGCAGCTAAAGGGAGGATAAGGAGAGGAGTAACGCAAAGCTCGCGGCGGTTGCCGGGGACCAGTCTGGTTTCCACAAATGCATCAAAATTTTCGATTTTTTTTCAATTCCATTTCTATGTTCAAAATCACGATGTTGTAATGTTTGGCTAACAAATGAGTACAAGCTTTCTCTCGACAAGAATTCTATTACAAACAAGAATTCTATTGAAAACAATTAAACGGCTAGCTTTCATCAACATGTTGCAGGCATGATCCAATCGCTGAGCTTAGTACTTTATTATGCTCTTTTTGTCAGTTGTGCAGCCACAAAACCTGAAGTCACAGATAAGGCAGTACTTTGTGTGATACCGCGCTGCTACAGAGCTAAAGTACTATCTGCAAAGTTGTAGGTTTGGCTTGAAATCGACTCAAATGGAACTTTGCTTGGACGGATCGAAATTGGCTTATTTGGAAAAATTGTGCCAAAGACGGTGAAAAACTTCGTCGAGTTATCAAAAAGACCAAAAGTATGTGATTTTAAAAGATAAAATGTTGAACTGGGGGTTGAACAAGTTTCGCTGATATTATTAATTTACAATAAAAATCACATCTTGAAACTCACACCTAAAGGCACTGTGCGCGAAAACCTGTTCTTTTCATTATGAAAAAATGTGTTGTGTGTGGTCGCAGAAGATTATTTGCAAAATTCCGAAAAAAAAAGAATGAAATCCTGGAGGGTAACAGCTTCTGGGAAAGCATCCTTCCTGCAATAAGAGCTTTGCCAAATGGAACCAAGGAAACGAAGTACGCGATGGGTGGGGCGTCGTGTAAGATTTTGAAAAAGTCTCACGTGAAGCTGATCACAGTTATGCCTTCAACGCATCTACACATGATATTTCAAGTTGCTACCACTTGTACACTTCTACTGCAAGAATTCAAATTGCTCATGGTTCACCAAGTAATTAGGATTTACTAGAATCAACGCTTTCGTTCGTTTGTTTTGTTAGCTTCATCGAGTACGGGGAACGAAATACTTGATTAATTTTTGATGAAGATTGTGGGTGGTAGGTCTACTCCGTTGTGTGTGTAGAGGTCCCACTAGTCGCAGCTTTATTAAGGCACAAGAATGGCGGGAAAGTGGAGCCAACGGCTCGGCAACAAGAGTACAGAAGAATGTGTAGAATATGTAGAATCGCGAATGAATAATTGATGGCCTCTTTTTATACGCTGGAGGCGGGTCTAACGGATTTGAAATCAAAATGGCATCGACTATGGGCGGTCAAGGCGCTGATAACTTTCAAGACAATATTGATTGAGTAACAACGGCTAACAATAACGAACAATGGAGTAGGTAACAATGAAACAATGTATTAAGGCATCAAGTACCGTCTACAAGTTATGTTTTTTGTGTACAGTACCTGAACTAACTCCCACGGAAACTATAAGAGGTGGATGAGAGAGTTGTAACATATGGAGAGGTTCTCCAAAAGTTACACTACGTCAGCCGAGGAAGCTGTATATGTTGTCAATTGGGGTCCTGCTACCTCAGCCAGGAAGATAATTTCTCGAAGGATCTGATCGTGGCTTGCCTGTAAGGGAAGATTTTACGATAAGGTCGGATGCAAGGAAGGGGAAGTACAATATACTTACCCGAATGCAAACTTCAAGGGTGGATTCATATTGCAGCAAAGGACTGCTCAGTGTAGCACGCAGCCGTTGGCGAGCGAGTTAGCGGTAAGCGGCAGCCCCATGAAGGCGCATCATACGGGAAATGACGGAGAATGCACTTTTGCGGTTGTGTCGCTTCGCATTGTTTTTCTTCTTCATCCTACACCACTAACCTGTTCATCTTGATTTCTAACGACCTGCACTTCCATAGTGAACTTCGTTTCCAAGCTCTAAAAAGCCTTTAGCAACAGTGTTCCGACAGCTGTGGCTATAGTCATCAACGGCTCATTCCAGTACCGGTGAGGCTTAAAGGCACGGGTTGGGATCAAATTGTTATTGGGTTCGAAAACAATACAAGTAGTGCGGAGGAAAGTTAGCGGGGAGAAGAGGCAAAAGCAAGAGGCTGATTGAGCAAGATTACCATTCTGTGATAGATTCAGGCAGCATTTTGATAAATGAAAGAGTCAAATTAAATTCAAAACGACAATCTTCGTACAACCTTTGTTTTGTGAGGCTCAAATCACTGTGGAGATTTTAAGGTGACGTACATATGTTGGCTTACTGATGTGTAGCACTCTGGTCATCAGTTACCTAGCCCCACCCGCAACTTATGGGCATGGATGGTAAGAAAAGGTCCACACAGAAATCGCCGCACCAACTGCCGTGCGCGATGATAGCTCGCCGCGTGAGCGGCGTGACCTCATTAGCTGACGATTGAGTTGACCGTCTGCCACCTAATCCCGATCATGGCCTTGATTCAGGTATTTGTATTCTGCACAAACCATTCTGCAGTGGAAGGCTCTGCCATATAAAGAACATTGGTGTTAGCTTTAATGAATCAATTTCAGGGTGAAGGATATATCGGCTCGCCGTTCCATCGTATAGCTCGAGACTTCGTAATACAAGGCGGAGATTTTACTGAAGGCAATGGATTTGGTGGAAAGTACCCTTGTTTTCAAATTACTCGCTGTGATTGGATAAGTGTAGTAGCTTCCATAGATCTATATACGGAGATAAGTTCCCCGATGAGAACTTCGAGCTCAAGCATTATGGACCGGGTTGGGTTTCAATGGCAAACAGTGGAAAGGACACGAATGGCAGCCAGTTCTTCATCACTCTTGCGAAAGCTGATTTTCTAGATGGGAAGCATGTAGTCTTCGGAAAGGTAGGTCATTTCGAGAACCACTCGTTTCTTTATTTTTGCCTACATTTGTCCCAATACCAGTGGCTCTTGATTGTTTTTGCCATATCATAAAGAGCTCGCTCAGACAGTGTTCATATTTTGGCCAAAAAAAGGAGCTTTCAAAAGGTGAGGTGAGGATGAAAACAATTTGAAGCAACCATCAATCCTATAATCACTTCATTATATAAACCAGAAGTTGTGTGTGTGGTGTTGTGTGTGTGTGTGTGTGTGTGTCGTTCTGTCCGTCCGGACCGACCGCTCACAAAACCAGGGAGTACGGAGAGGCGAAAACTTGCGCTGCCATGCGCCGGAGAGAAGGGTTGTAAGGAGGTATAACACAGCAATTCATAATAGTTGAGCTGATGATAATAGTCATTGCTGCTATTAACCCATGGTTCCTCATATGTGTGCGCTGTCATCATCGCGGCGCAAGAAGGGTCTAAGAGGGAGAGGGGCGTGGGGGAAGGGAGAGACTGAGAGAGAACGACCGTTTTCAAGAGTAAGGTCTATATTCATGTTGACGTATTATTCTAACCTGATGTGGTGATTGTGATAACACCCACAATGGCTACAAAAACACCGAACGAGCACATTCAGCCTCATTCTACATGGTACTGGCAGGGCAGTCGGAGCCGGCGGCTGGTAGGGGAGGGGGAAAGCAGAAGAGGGGGAGAGAGGGAGGGAAAGAGGGGAAATGAGAAAGGGAGGGAGGTCCAGAGAGGGGATAGAAGGAGGTATAACACATTCAATAGTGAGGTGGTTAATGGAGTACGTCATGCTGCTATTCCGTGGTTCCTCCCTACCCTGTGATGCGCGCGATAGCGGGCGGAGCAAACCTGGTACTATATAATTCGCTAAGTATGTTTGTGCGTGTGTATGTGTGTACGTGTGTTTGTCACGAAATTCATAGCGCACTTCGCAGCGGTGTAGGTGGGGCGGGAACATCTTTGGTGGGGACCCAAAGTGATAACGACTGATAAGATCCGATAAGAGGCGCCAAAACGCCAATTCACGATATCCATAGCGCGCGTCCCAGCATCAGTGAGGCGTTGGTTCCAAGAAGTGTTGTAGGACGGGAACATATATGGGGGAAAGAAAGCGATAACGGCTGATAAGGGCCGATAATAACGATATGCGCAAAGAATATGGAAGTCACTCAAAACGACTCTAGATAAGCATTTCATTTCAATATTCTTTCATTTGTTATCATCAGCCCGAAATACCACTAAACCGCTATGCTCCCTAAAAATGTATGGTGTAAGTTCAAAAATACGATAACGAGTGCTGGATGTTTATATTTTAACATCACACACAATCCGACCGCTAAATTACACTGACATTCGATGCATGGTGGTTGTTTACAGACACCACTTTAGCTCCGCACTCCACTGCGCGTATCAAACGGTGAGCTTCTGCAAAGATGGGCAGCCTATGAACGGTCAGCTAACGCATTTTACGAAGCAACTCAATGTTTAGCGGTGAACCTAACGCTTTATCGGCTGTCCTGCTTCAACTAGGCCTTCCGTTTCATGCGCGCGGTAGCGTGCGGAGCTAAACTGTAAAGGATAAAGCATTTGCCGTTGATCAATCCCTTTTTGGGATGCGGCACGCATTCTACTTCCATTTGTACATTCGTAGTGGCGTTTGAATGCGATGTGGCCTATACAATGACTTGCGGGGGCCAGCCGATGTACAAGTCAGTGTTTTTATCCTCCCAGACAAGTCTGGTACCAATTAACCGACCCCGGAGGGATGGAAGGCTTGGTTGACCTGGGCGACTCACGACCTAGGATTTGATCCCCGGACCGTTAGCGTGGTAAGTGCGCCACTTGT